AGGACTATTTCCTCCTCTGAGAAATGCTTTGTTTGGTTGTCTAAGCTAGTGAAAGGAATTTAAATCACTTATGGAACAGCCTACTAATTATCATATTAAAGCTAATTACTAGGGACATCAGTAAATACCTGTGATTAGATGTGGTAGGTTTTCCTGTTTATATAGAATAGTTACTTCCAGAGTTCAGAGAATTAAAGGGGGGCTGGTAATTACCAGTTTGAGAGTGAGCCATTTAGAGAAATAGTACCTTCTTAATATTGTATTATAGACCCCAGGGAAAGTCATAGTAAAGGTCATAGTAAATAATAAAATAATGAAAATAGTGGCACTGTATAATCTGAATATATTAAAAAATACGTTTTTTAAAAAGTTTAACCATTTCTCAAAACAAATGATACCACCAAAAAAAAGGTATTAGCAGTAAAATTAAGATGGGAATACGTAAATCAGCGTTCACACGTGCTAGTATTTACTGGAAACTTTACTGGAGGAATGTTTATTCTGACAAAAGGTAGAGCAACTCTATATATTACTGGAAATTTTATCTGAGATCAAAATTGTAAATGGAAACAAGTTAGGGAACAATTCGGCCGAATTGCTTTGCTTTGATTTGATTAATATATTAGGAAGAAGGTGCATTCAAAACATAACGTCTTGGATCGCTAGGTGAAGGGTAAGGAATGATGTTGCCTAAGGCTCCTTCTACCAATAGGAGTTTAAAAGCTGAGCCTATGTCTAATTTCTCACAAGTACGGAGAGTGACAACTTAAGAGCAATTCATTTAGTCTAAGAACGCTCGGGCTCCAGGAAAACACTGGTTTGTGGACAGTTTGCCCACCCATCTTCTTTCCTTTGGGTTTGTTTTGCCTTCTCTTTGTCAAATCTCCGTGGGAAAACGACGTTCAGGTGTAGTGACAGCAACGCAAAACCCCGACCGTGGGGAGACGCCTCGGTGTTTTTGAAATGCAGCCCCCGGCGATGAACTGGGAGACTTAAGTCTGAGCTCCCGGGCACCCGTAGCTCAGCGTCTCCGCGTCGGGAACCGGAAGTGGCCGCACCTCGCCGCTTCCTCTCCGGGAAAGTCAATTCCCACGGTTCTGCCCCGCGGCAAGCCGTAAACCACCGGAAGTCGGAGAGAATGGAGGCATTGCGGCCTCCCCAGACGGCGGGGAAGTTCGTGGTGGTCGGCGGTGGCATCGCGGGCGTCACCTGCGCAGAGCAGGTAGGTGTGCGCACAGGCAGCCTCGCCTCTTACTCGACTCTGGAGGCCGTGGCCCTCGAACTCCATCCCGTCCTCTCCCCGGACCCTCCTTAGCCGTTTCCTTTGCCCCCACCGCACACTTCATCCCATATTAGAGATTGTGTTGGTTTTCAGTTGCCGTCTACGGTGCCTGGCAGCTTGGCCTCCGGCGCAGGGAGCTGGAATGGGGAGCAAGTTGTTTGGGGGGAAACCCAAAAGTAACTGAACCAGGGTCTGATCCTGGTCATGCCAGAGCAGACAAGGGCTTATAACCAGCAAGTACTTGGTTAGAATATTCAGCCCCCTTTTTTAATTTGCTGATGAAATTCAACTTCTTAGTGCATCGCATCGTAACTAATTGGCAAAGAAACCCTTATGTAACTTTCCTGTACTTTGAACTCCCAAGACAGAAGAGATTCCATCCTTAGGAATGTTTGGTAAAACAACCAGCAAGGGATTAAATGCAGCAACGCTGTGCTTTCCTGATTACAGTGAGTAATCAGATCATATATGTATATGTTTCAAAAGAACAAGATTCTTTTGTTGATATAAAGTAAACATAAGCAATTACTGAAGTCAGAAGAAAAAGTGCAAGAAATTCAAGAATTGGATTTATGTAAAGATTTTTGGATATGTATTTTCCATTTGTTCAAGTAAATGCCTATGACTCAGGCACTGTACTACGGTTGATCAGTCAGATATAAACAGAGCGTGGTACCTCCTTTATAGGGACTCCCACTCTAGTGGAAGAGACGTAAATAAGTCACTCGTCAGTGTGTTTGCTATCTTAGGGGTACATGTGGAATTGGTAGGGAGTGAGTTAGGCACACCTGTGGAGTTGGTAGGGTGTGAATTAGAGAGGGGGTAACCTTTCTCAAAGGAGGAATCGTTTTCACTAAAGTCTACAGTAATGACTGTAGACAACAGGTAGACAAGAAAAGACAGATACTCCGAAGGGCAGCAAGGGTGGAAAAGCATGGCACGGTCTGGAGCAGCAAAGCTTGAAGCACATGGTGCTTGGAGGAGGTGAACAGAGGAAAAACCAGGATACTTGGTAGAGAGAGATCAGCAAGGGTCTTAAAAATCTGGCTAGGAAGTTAATAAGTTACATGCAGTCAGATGAGTTTAAGCAAATGTAGTAATGGAATCAAATGAAAAATTTTGAATGATGATTAGTTACAGTCTGTTTGGGCAGGGACAGCTTGTGAATATGAGGCTGGAAGGCCGATTTAATGGTGATTTTAGTAGTATAAAGTTTTGAGTGCCTGGTATGGCAATGAAAACCAAAAGTTGGGAAATAAAGTATAAGAATATACAGAGAAAAGAAAGATGGAGAGAGTGATAATGTTGTCAAGTATTATAGAAAGTTCAAATAAGGTGATATTAAAATGAATCTGATGGGCTTTAAGGGTATGTAGGTGAATTGAAGGTGTTTAGAGTTTTTTCTCCTTTATTGAAATATAATCGACATCCAATATCCCTATTAGTTTCAGGTACATTGTGGTGATTTGATATATTTATACATTAGGAAGTGATTCCCCACGGTAAGTCTAGTTTCCATTAGTTAGCCTAACATCATTGACTATATTCCTATGCTGTGCTTTACATCCCCATGACTTGTTTATAACTGAAAATTTATACCTCTTAATTCCCATAACCTATTTTGCCCACCCTCTACCCCTCCCATCCTGGTAACTAACAGTTTTCCATATCTATGAGTCTGTTTTCTGTTCTGTTTTGTTCATTTGTTTCGCTTTTTAGATTCTACATGTAAGTGACATTGTACAGTACTTGCCTGTTTCTGACTTACTTCACTTAATCATAATGCCCTCTAGGTCTACCCATGTTGCCTAAAAGTGGCAAGTTTCTTTTTTATGGCAGAGTAATATTCCATTGTAATGTACCACATCTTTATTCATTCACTACTGAAGGACATAGGATGCTTGCATATCTTGGTTATTGTAAATAATGCTATAGTGAACATAGGCATCATATATATCTTTGAGTTGGTGTTTTCATTTTCTTTGGATAAATAACCCAGAATGGATTTGCTGGATCATATGGTATTTCTATTTTTAGTTTTTTGAAGAACCTCCATACTGCTTTCCACAGTGGCTGCACCAGTTTATATTCCCACAAACAGAATAGGAAGCTTCCCTTTCCTCCACATCCTCGCCAGCACTTTTTATTTCTTGTCTTTTGGATAATGGCCATTCTAACTGGTGTGAGGGATATTGATTTGCATTTCCCTGAAGATTAGTGATGTTGAGCATCTTTTCATGTGTCTGTTGGCAATTTGTATGTTTTCTTTGGGTAAATGTCTATTCAAGTCCTCTGCCCATTTTTTTAATGAGTTGTTTTTTGGTATTAAATTATATAAGTTCTTTATATTTTTGGATATTAACCCCTTATCTGATGTATGATTTGCAAATACATTCTGCTGTTTAGTAAGATGCCTTTTATTTTATTGATAGTTTCCTGTCCTGTGCAAAAAGCCTTTTATTTTCATGTATTTACATTTGTTAATTTTAGCTTTTTTTGCTTTTGCCTAAGGAGACTGGTCCAAAAATATTGGCAAGACTGATGTCAAAGAGATTACTGCCTATGTTTTCTTCTAGGAGTTTTATGATTTCAGGTTTTTAATCCATTTTGAATTTATTTTTGTATATGGTATAAGACTGGTTCGGTTTCATTCTTTGACATACAGCTGTCCAGTTTTCCCTATACCATTTATTAAAGAGACTGTCTGTTCTCCATTGTATATTCTTGCTTCCTTTGTCATAGATTCTTTGGCCATATAAGCATTGGTTTATTTCTGGGTGCTCTATTCTGTTTATCTATATATCTGTTTTTATGCCAGTACCATACTGTTTTCATCACTATAGCTTTATAGTATAGTTTGAAATCAGGGAACATGATACCTCTAGTTTTTTTCTTAAGATTATTTTAGCTATTCAGGTCTTTTGGCATTCCATGCAAATTGTAGGATTCTTTGTTCTAGTTCTGTGAAAAATGCCATTGCTATTTTGATGGGGGTTGCATTGAATCTGTAGAATGCTTTTGGGTAGTTGGGCATTTTAACTAAATTCTAACAATCTAGGAGCATAATATCTTTCCATTAATTTGTGTTGTCTTCATTTTCTTTCATCAGTGTGTTATGATTTTTTGTTACCAAGTCTAAGCTCTTGCCACTTTCTGCATGACAGGCAAATAAGTTGAGAGACAAGGTGTTGTGGCAAAGAAAGCAACTGTATTCAGAAAGCCAGAAGACTGAGAAGATGGCAGACCAATGTCCTAAAGCACCATGTTAACACGGGGTTAATTTCAAGCTGCTTTTACGCTAGGGAGAGGGGGAGCAGTTATTGGGTGACTGAAGGCTGCAGACATCTGGGCACCAGCAAGGATCCAAGGAGAGCTGAGAAACTCTGTATCCTTGTTTGTTGACTCTTCTTGACTTAGGTCTGGTCACAATATTTCCATAAATCTTTGACAGGCAATAATTTTTGTACATGTTTCCATATCTCCTTGGGGGAAGCAAGCTTTGGGGGAGGGGCTATTTTTAGAAATCTCGAAGTGCAAAAATTACTTCTGATGATTAATAAATCTACATGCAGGGCTGAGCAGAAACCCTTCCCCTCTTTTTGGCTGAGGGTGGGAGGCCAAAGGTTAAAGCAGCAAAGGAGACAAATACTGTATGGAGACAGATATGCTAGGCTTTTTCTAGCTCTTACATTTTCAGTGTGCAGGTCTTTCATCCACTTGGTTAAACTTTTTCCTCTTACTCTTTTTGGTGGCATTTTATTATTTCTGGTGCAATTATAAAATGGGCTTTTTTTTTTATTTCTCTTTCCGTTAACTCGTTATTAGTGTATAGAAATGTAATCAGTTTCTTTATGTTAATTTTGTATCCTGTAACTTTACTGAATTCATTTATTCTAATAGGTTTTTTTTTTGTGGTTGAAAATGTTGTTTTAATGATACAGTTGGGGTGGAAGTGGAGATTGGTGGAGTTGAGGAACCACTGTGTGAATTTAAAAAATTGTTTCAAGAAATTTAAAATGAGAACAAAAGAGGTTGTAGTCAGAAGAAATGTTGAAACAATAGCAAGTTGAGCCTCTAAATTCTATTAAAGCATTATTAAAATGGTTTTGTCTTCCCAGAATATATACTGGTAGGGCATTTGGAAGAGGCAGGGGTGTCAAAGCACTTGGGAAATGTCAGGCTAAGATTCTAAATATTTACTGTAGAGGATTTGCTTCATTTCATCCCACTGAAGGGAAAAGAATGTTATTTTAAAATAAGTAGGTCTAACTTAATTAGGAAGATAGTTTCTTCTTATCCTCTGCATTATAACTTTAAAATGGTATATAAATAGATTAATAATTACACCTCTTTATATCACCTTTCTTGTTTAGGTCTGTTAGCATTAAATGTAATATTAATTTTATCAATATCAGAGTTGAACATTATGACGGCCCCATAAATATGAACAAGATGCAGGATAATGGGGACCTTTAAATGAGGAACAGTGAGTTTTTAGTTTCCTAGGTAAATAACATTATTTAAATTGCATTTTCCCTATCTCATAATATACTTCCCCCATGCTACACTTAATACTTGAAGTTATTTATATTTTTTCTCTTTACTTTTTTTTAAATAAGTTGGCTATTCACTTTCCATCAGAAGATATTCTCCTGGTAACAGCTTCTCCTGTTATTAAAGCAGTTACAAATTTCAAGCAGGTAAGAACCTTTATATAACTCCCTTAGTATGAATTTTTAATCATTTCAATAACTTGCACAGCAATTAGAATTTGAATTGTTTAAATGGCAAATGTTCTTTTGATACTTATTTTAAAATCAAAGCTTAAAGTTGAGAATTACTCAGATTGAATACCAAAAGTATCTGAAATGATACTGCACTTCTTATCTTTTTCTTTCATCTTTTCCTTCCATTCAAAATTACTTTTTAGAAAAATTTAAACTAGATTCTTTGGAGGAAAGGGTGTTGTAAAGACCTAAGTGTGATTACAAATATGTATGTATAGCTTCATTAGAAATAGGTGTGTGAACGTCGATGTGTGTTTACAAGTCATAAAAGTGCTTCTGAGCCAAGTTAACACTTGGAGGTAATTAATGTTTCATATGTGTAATAAGCATCTCAGAACACTTTGTAGTTCCATGAATTGCTATTACACATATAACATAATAGGAGTCTAAGATCATTTGGGTCATAGTATCATAGAAGAGTGGTTTCCAAGCATTTTTAAAACCATACTTCACCTGTGAAAAAATTTTGAGCTGATATTCTTATGTATATTTATGTTATATACATGTACTGCAGTGCTACAGTTAAAAATGTTATAATGCTTAGACCAAAAAAGTAAATAAACAGTCAATCTTCCCATACTTCAGTGAAGACTATTAACAGAGTGTTTGATTTAATATAAGTTTTCTCTTACACTATCCTGGTAACAGAATATAACTTTCCCATCTTGTAAACCCCCTGAACCAAGCATAATTTAATGCCATATGTTGCTCCTTTATAACCTGCCTAGAGATACTTAAGATATCTTTGTACACAGGTACAACATAAACAGTTACGGCTTTGGGAGAAGCAGACATCAAATTATGACTATTCTCTCTAAAAGAAGAAAGTATGTATTCAGTTGCAGACTAAGAGCACATACATGAGAGAAAGCTGTATAGCTCGGTCTCATACTGTCTTTCCAGAAGAGTTAATTTAGTGTAATGATCCCAAAATTGTAAGACCTGAATTTAGCTTTTGCCAGTTTTATAAATTTTGTCCAATAGAAGAAAAAAAAAAAACATGGTTCTAGGCTGAACTCTGTAATTTACTGGCTGTGGCTTTGGCAAGTTTCTGTATCTGAGTTACTTTACCTATAATATTAGGAAAATATCTTCTTTGCTTACTGAACAAGGTTGTGAGTTTTAAGGTGTGCTAATGCATATATATGAAAATGCATTGCAATAAAAAACATTATGCAAATGTCAGTTATTGTTAGTGTTCAGAAGTAGGAAATTGCCGCCTCATCATCATTTCTTGAGCATCTATATCATACATCATCCAGTCTGCTAGGTGTGCAGGATATAGAGATGAAAAATAGTACACCCAAAAGTCATTAACAGTTATCTCGAGTCAGGTGGTGCGTGCTGTGAGATTTGGAGAGTGGTAAAGAGAGACTTAACTTTTTATTCTGTATTATGTATTGCTTATTTTAGAGTTAAAAAGAACATGTTTTATTAATGTGTAATTTTTAAATGGAGAAAAAAGATTACTAATAATAACTTAGATTATTTATGAAGTGCTTACTATGCACCAAGCATTCTTCTCAATGTTTAAAATATATTAATTTATTTAACCTTAACTCCATGAAATAGGTTCTTATATTTGTCCCATGTACAGATGACATAAATGAGTCACGGAGAGGTTAGGTAACTTTCCAAGGTGCAGGTAGTCAGGATTTCAGTCCAGGCATTTGACTCTAGAGCTCTCATGGTTAATGAGTAGCACTTTCTCAGGATGATTATATTGTATTAGGGCAAACATAATGCAAGAAGTCGTCCTCATACAATATGATAATTATCCTGATAGAGGCAAAAATCCTTGAGACCGCATTCCAATATATGCATATGTATTTTTATTGTGAATGAGTGCCAAAGCCTGCTTTTGAGAATCAAGGAAGGCTTTACCTAACGGGGTGCATTGAAACTGAGACTTAAGGACTAAGTTTTGCCATGCTTGTAAGAGGTTGAGTGGAGGCAGGCATGTGCCAAGGCTCAGTGAAAGTGTATGACTACATAAAATGCTCTTACACATACCAGTTCAGCCCTGATGGAGTATAAAGTATAGGCAGGGGCAGATCATGAGAGGCTCGTATGCTATGACGTGGAATCATATTTTATCTGAATTAGGTGATGTCAAACTTCTGGAGCATGTTGAGCAGGTGAGAACACTGAATTGGAGATAACAGTTCGACATCCATCACTGTGTGTGTCAGCTGAACCATAGACACAGGATACAATTTCCCAGGAAGAGTACATACAGTGAGAATAGCCCAATGGCCGGGTCCTGTAGAACACTGATGCTTACGGGAAGTCATAGAGAAAGGAGAGCCTGGAAGTGGCCTTCCTGATTAGTCTCAGGTCTAAGAGGAAAGCTATGGAAGCCAAGGAAGGCAAAATTAAGAGGAGAGGACAGTCCTGTCAGATCCTGCGGAATAGTCAGGTAAGATAATGACTCCCAAGTACCTATTTCTAGTAAATCACTGGTGACCTTGAGGCAGTTTACCATATCTTAAACTAGTGGGAGGTAACTCTAAAATGACAAGGTAAGTTTTCTCTTCTGAAATTTGGCTGCAAAGGGAGAAAAGCTGGGTTGGCAGCAAAATGAGGACATGAGGACTAGCATTAAGCTGAGTTTTATTGTCTTAAGGTGGAAAACACGTCAGCATGTTTACCTGTTGAGATTAAGAATCCAGTGGGGAAAGCTGAAGCTGAAGGAAGACAAGGAATAATAAGGCAAGAGCCCCGAGGAGGTGAGAGATGAGGGCGTGTGGAGCACAGATTAACAGATTTACCTTGAAAAAGTGGAAGTGGCTCCAGCAAGGCAGACAGTAGCAGAGAGATTTATATAGTGGGAAAGAAGCAGTAAGAGTTCTTAGTAGTCTCTTTCAGCTCAGAAGGAAGGTGATTTGCTGAGAATAAAGAGGATGGAATATGTTTGGGCAGCATTAGAATGGGTGAGAGTTTAGAAAAGTCACTGAGGGAATGGAAGATGGTACTAAGATAATATTTGCTCTTCTCACTGTAATGACCCTTAAATTGTTGGTACAAAAGCAATGGTGGCTAAACTGTACTAGTGGTCATTGTATTCACCACACACTCAGTTAAAAAAAAATTAAAGCCAGTAAAAAAGTGTTAAATTTATTAAGTCCTGACTCCTGAGTGCACATTTTTAAATATTCTGTATGATGAAATCTGATATATGCAATGCACTTTTGCACACAAGACACAGCATTGTTTCAAGGAAAAACAATTGTGCGAGTATTGAGTTGCAAGATAAACTAGTCCCCTTTTTACATGGAATGCCAGTTTCACTGGGAAGAACAGCTGACAAGCTATAGTAGTTCTTATTCGGAAAATGGATGAAGTGACCCTGTCACGTCAAGAAAACCAACTGACAGCATTTGTTGCCAGTATGGCAAAATTAGAGATTTCAAGCAAAAATCAGAATTTTAGAGAACTCATATTCTTCAGTGTAGCTTCATGGTCCTGAAAGACTTCCCTGATGAGACTGATGGTGATGATAATGAGTGTGATTTTTAGTATTGCAGTGATATGAAATGTGTCAACATTTGGAAACTTCCCGTAACTCAGTGAACCCTGTTTTCCAAATAATCAGTGCTATGGTATAGGATCTGTTCAAAGTACAGGATAGACCAGTGGATCACAGTGTGAAGTGTGACAGATTCTTTGATAGGGTTTCAAATTCTACATCACAGCTAATCTTTAAGAAACCATGCTTACCAGGTTTTACTGTGACATCAAAGAAAGATACAGAATTATCTGAAAAGGTGGCATGTATGTGTGAGCCTGGCCTGTCTTTGTGTATTTAACCAAACAACATAGAGCAACAGTTTGAATGCAGAAGCAGATATGCAGCTGTCTTATGTTCAGGCCAGACATTAAAGAGATCTGCAAAAATGTAAAATATCTTGCCATTCTCTCACTTGATTTTTTCTGGTGGTGGGGGGAAGGAAATAGTTATTCTTCATTACAAGTATATCTGTTTAGCATGTATTGAATTTATTTTTACTTTTAAGTGAATTAAGAAATGTTTTAAATTTCTCACAGTTTTAATTTCTAATGTAGCAAATATCACTGGGTTTAACTTAACATAAACAAAAGTTCTTTAGGGTCCTTGATCATTTGTAAGAGTGTAAAGGGGTCTTGAGACCCAACAATTTAAGAACTGCTAGGGCCATGTTGTAGGATTTCCAGGCAGTGCTTAAGGAGCAGCTGAGGTCCAATACCAGTCTGGAAGGTGTGTGGTCCCTGTACAGCAGACTGGGAGTTGGACTAGAGAAAGCATTTAGTTTGATCTGTGCTTGCAAGTTTTCAGGGTACTTAATGGTTAAAGATAAGAAAGCAATGAAGTAAAGGATTTGGGCAAAAGATGGAATGTTCTGCGATGGAGTCCTAGCTGGATAGGAAGGAGAGTCCAAGAGGGTGTTGATGATTTTAGAGAACGGGGAACAAGTCCAAAGACCAGATCACAAAAAAGAGAGCTAGCGAGGTTAAGGAAATGGATAAGCTGACTGAACTACGCAGAAGTAAGTAGTGTCAGCCCTCGTTTCACAGGCCAGGAAACTGACTTGTCCAGGAGTAGCGGGACTAGTATGTGAGTTCATGCCTTACAACGCGGTTAGCTCTCTTCGTATGTGGTTGGCGGGCTTTCTTGTTTATAAATGTGAAGTAAGTAGGGTACTAAAAACAAATGGAAGTATTTTTATTATTTAAAATTCTTGAAAGAAAACTTATTTTTTAAATACACATTTTTGTCTCTGATAAAATGCAGGTTTCTAGAGTACTGGAAGAATTTGATGTTGAAGAACAACCAGATACCATGTTAGAAAGTCGCTTTCCCAACATTAAGGTTGTAAGATGTGGAGTAAAGCAACTGAAGAGTAAAGAACATGTAAGAGGTTTTGTTTTCCCTCAATCGCATTTTCCATTGTTAAATCTTGAGGTGGTTTTGTCTGCCTGCCTTTGACCCCACCTATACCACCACCACACCAAAGGCCTTAGCATGTCCAAAGTTTAGTGGCATTGATTTCCATTATCATTAGAAATATGTATACTTTTTGTGAGTTCATTAGGATTATATAAGTTTGGTTTAGCATTTCAGGTTTCAGCATTAACACATATATTGTCCACTATATTCTGGATATAAGCGCTGGGATACACAGGAATATTACAGTGAACCTCCTCCTGGGAGCTCTCAGTGTCACGGGGAATGTAAACATGCATACGTAATATTATACGGACATCTGAAAAGCACAGTCATTGAAATATTATCAAAGACTTGGTGTTAGAGATTTAGGGATACACCACAGAAGGAGTAATATTTGAGCTAGATTTTAAAAGATGGGAGAATTAAGAGTTCTCCAGGTGGAAAAAGGCACCTCAGGTAGAAGAGATTCCATGTTCAAGACCCAAAGAAAGGAAAAGGGGTGTGTGGAATAGTGGGTTGTCAAAGGGGTTGGGGTGGAGATAAAGATAAGTGAAAGAGATTGGCACATAAAGCCATGGAAATAAGGTCGTGAAGAGTTTTCTGGGTCGTGCTAAGAAATTTATAATCAATGGAGAAAAATAGTAAAGCTATTTTAAATGGAAGCAGAGATGATTATATAGATGTTCTTTTAGGAAGCTGTATCTGACAGCACTGTTGACAATGAGCTGGGGTTGAGTGAGTGGCTCCTGTCCAACAACAAAATTAGAAGGTGGTTGTAATAGTCCAAAATGATATAAGGCCTGAAATAAGGAACAGTGTAGTTAGAAAAAATGGCTGAGGTTATGAGTGAGATTTCTACTAAAAACTCAGCAGGACTCAATAACTCATTGGACATGGGAATGAATAAGGCAATCTCAGGAAAGGATGTTACAGGTGATCAACAGTATCCTTAAATGAGTGCTTGGCAAGATGGGAAGCAGCATCTGTAGTTGTTTCTCTAAAACAGCTTTAACTTATGAGTTCTGCTTTAGGAAGACAATGCATATATAACACACTTAAAACACAATATATTTGACAGGGGAAAAAAGATAAAATACTGAATTTTATGAGAAAAAATGAAAAATCTGAATCCCAAAACTAGAATAAACTTGATACTTATAGGCATAGTTCATAACCTATATAATAACATCAGTGTCATTTAATTAGCAAATTGATACCAGCTCACATGTGTACTAATGAATTGAGGGAATTTATGTATATACAACATTTTTGAGTGCCTCCCATTACCATTTGAAGTGTCCCACATGAGATATATGTCTGTTATTTTCATATGTGTTCTTTATATTCTTTAGTGAATTAAAGATAATGTATTTTATCTTCATATCTACTTCCAAAAAATGTAACAGTAGTCAATGAAAAGTTTTGTGCTTTTTTTACAGTAGTTAAACGCAAATTATTTTTAAAAATTGGTCAGTACCTGTAACTAACTTCTTTTTGTCAGATTAAACTCTAACCAAGTTATCTGAAGGACATCTCTTATGAAATTTTTATATGGATTATACTATGGTGGATTATTGGTTTCATGTTACTTGTTATACAGCCAAAGAGTTAAAATGGGTAACAAATCTCTTAGTGGGCATCAAGTGCTATGTTATGATTTGCCAGTCTTATAAATCGAACACAAGACCTTTAAATCAAAAACAGCTCCTAAACCATTCTAACAAAGTCTGGCATCTCTCATATTAGTACTATGCTCATGTATATCTGCATTCTAAAGCCTAGTACTCATCTGTAGATTTTCATTCAGTATTGAGGGACAAAAACAATGAATCTCTAATAAATATTTTTAGATTTACTGTTTTTAAAAACTAATATAAATAACTTCAAAGGTAGTACATGTTAGAATTTGAAGTTAACATGTTTTTCACTTATATGAAAATAGAATCCCCAAAGAGTATTAAGTTTGCTAAGAAAGTGACTATTTGTACTTAGGAATATAAATTGTAGTTTTTAGCACTTTCAATCTATTTTAAATTAAGAAGACATATTGTAACCTCTTCTGCCACATTCTACTCCTGTGTACTCATACCCGACATAAAAGTATGATACAGTTAGAATCACTAGATCTTCTTACAATAAATTTCATTGAAATCAGAAATATCCATGAAGACTTGCTCCAGGTATAATATGATCAGAACGCTCAAAATTAAAATTTCTAAATGTTTAGATTTTAAACTGTGGTTAACATACCTTTCCCTAAGTTTTATGCAAAATTTTGTGTGAAATGTGCCCTTTTTTCCAGGGGAGAAAGACTAGTTTCCATCAGACTCTCAAAATGGTTCATGGCCCTTGAAAAGATCAAGAATCACTGGGTAGAAAATTGCATTCTCATGCTTAGTTTTGTAATTGCTGTCGCAAAGTCTTGAGTGCCACCAAGAGGCAACCTTAATAATTTTTTGCTTTTGTCTTACTGAATTTTTAATTTAAAATGAAATTGTGCCATGTACAATTGTTTCCCCTCACCTTCACTGCTCGACTTTTACAGCTCATTTTAACAGAAGATGGCAGTCAGTATGTATATAAGAAACTCTGTCTGTGTGCTGGAGCTAGACCAAAGTTGATCTGTGAAGGAAATCCTCATGTCTTAGGAATCCGTGATACAGACAGTGCTCAGGTAACATTTGGGGTTGGGTCATGGGAAAGTCATAGCAACATGAAGATATCTGAGACTTTTCTCTATTTGAATCAAAGTGTTCCACTTACAATGTTAATTCGAAAATCATAGGAGCAGAGGAGAGGTTTTTGTTGTTTCATCACCCGTAAATCAGAAAGTAGTTAAAATGTTTTTTTACTGTCAATTTCAGTTTGGTTTTAGTTGATAATTTATCTTGTCCTCGGGTTCATGCTGATACTCTCTGTTCTTTCCATTATGCGGTATCCCTGGTATAATGACTAAGCTGAAAGTTACAACTTACATTACACACGTGTTCATTACTCTGCTTTGATAGGGAATATGTGATTTGCAACTTAAATATTTATTATTTTTCCAAAAAGGTAAAGCATACTCAAAACTTACTGAATTTACTCCTCAGCAAAAAAATTGATACTCAAACCTTTGTGGCAAAGACATGACAAAAATCCTACAACTGGAAAAGTCAGGATTTATTGTTCTGCTAAAGAACAGTGATAAACTGTCCCAAATAGGTGTAACTCTACGGGATCTTGTTCAGCATCAGAAAAAGACAAATTTTTTTCTGGGTTTTTATTTCAGGGTTTATTGACCCTTACAGCCAAGAATCTCCTTCTGGTTTCCAGTCACAATAGTCTGTGACAGTTGTTGTTCTGTCCCATAAGGTGATGATTTTACATTTATATTGTGATGTCATCTATTCTTGACAGATGATGTTTTCCTTCAGATACTGTTATTTAAATAATTAGAAATTTAAAGAAAATGAGAAGAAACTGATTATCATTTTTTGTAATTAAAGTAGAGTTGGCAAAGTATTATAAGTTTCAGGTGTATAACATAGTGATTCAACTTTCAAATACCTTACAAAATGCCTATCATGGTAACTGTAGCTACCATCTGTCAACATGCCAAGTTTTTACAATATTATTCACTATATTCCTTGTGCTGTACCTTTTGTCCCATGATGGACTTACTTTATAACTGGAAGCTTTTACTTCCTAATCCCCTTTGCCTATTTTGCTTATCCATCCACACACCTAACTTCCCTTTTGACAACCACCAGTTAGTAATCTATCTGTCAGTCTGTTTTGGGTGGTTTATTTATTTATTCACTTGTTTTGTTTTTGAGAGTGCATATGTAAGTGAAGTCTTTTGATATTTGTCTTTCTCTGTCTGACTTGCTTCACTTATACCCTCTTAAGTCCATCCATGTTGTCACAATGGCAAGGTTTCATTTTTACGGCTGAGTAATATCCTTCTGTGTATGTATGGATACACTACATCTTCTTTATCCATTCACTATTGAACACTTAGGTTGCCTCCATCAACTTGGAAATAATGCCACAAATAAGCACACAGGTGCACGTATCTTCTCAAATTAGTGTTTTTGTTTTCTTTGGGTAAATACCCAAAAGTGGAGTTACTGGGTCAAATGATATTTTCATTTTGTAAGTTTTTGAGAACCTCCATATTGCTCTCCAGAGTTGCTGCACTGGTTTATATACCCACTAACAGGGCACAGGGTTTCCCTTTTTTCCACATCCTCACCAACAAATTGTTTTTTCTGGTCTTTTTGATACTAGCCATTCTGACTGGTGTGTGGTGACATCTCGTTGTGTTTTTGATTTGCGTTTCCCAGATGGTTCATGATGTGGAGCTTCTTTCTGTGTGTTTGTTGGCCATCTGTGTGTCTTCTTTGAGAAAATATCTATTCAGGTCTTCTGCCCATTTTTTAATCAGATTATTTGTTTTTTTTTAGTGTTGAGTTTTATGAGTTATTAACCACTTATTGGATATATCATTTGCATGTATCTTCTCCCATTCAGTAAGTTGCCTTTTCATTTTGTTGATGGTTTCCTTTGTTGTGCGGAAGCTTTTTAGATTGATGTAATCATTTATTTTTTCCTTTTGTTTCCCTTGCCTGGGTAAGAAATTGCTAAGGCCAATGTCCCCAAATTTACCGCCTGTTTTCTTTTATAGTTTTGTGGTTTCAGTGCTTACATATAGGTCTTTGATGCATTTTGAGGTTTGTTGTGTATGATGTAAGAAAGTTGTCCAGTTTAATTCTGTAGTCCAGTAGTCCCAGCATGGAGCTGTCCAGTTTGCCCAACATCATTTATTGAGATTTTTTTTCCCCATTACATATTCTTGCTTCCTTTGTCACGGATTAGTTGGCCATATAAGCACAGGTTTATTTATGAGCTCTCTATTCTGTTCCATTGATCTATGTGTTTATTTTTGTGCCCGAATCATATTATTTTGATTATTATAGCTTTATGGTATAAAGTTAGGGAGCATGATATCTCCAGTTTTGTACTTCTTTCTCAAGATTGCTTTGGCTATTTGGGGTCTTTTGTGGTTCCATACAAATTTTAGGACAATTTGTTCTAGTTCTATTAAAAATATCATTGGTATTTTGGTAGGGATTGCATTGAATATGTAGATTACTTTGGAAAGTATGGCCATTTTAACAATATTTTTCCAATCTGTGAGCACAATATATCTTTCCATTTATTTGTATCATCTTCAATTTCTTTTCTCAATATCTTACAGTTTTCACAGTACAGGTCTTTCACCTCCTTGGTTAAATTTATTCTTAGGTATTTTATTATTCTTTGTGTGATTGTAAGTGGGATTATCTTCTTAGTTTCTCTTTCTCCTAGTTCATTTTTAGTATATAGAAATGCAACAGATTACTATAAGTTTAATTTTATCCTGTAACTTTACTGAATCCATTTATTAGTTCTATTATCATTTAGATGCCTTTTATTTCCTTTTCTTGTTTGATTGCAGTGGCTAGGACTTGAAACACTATGCTGAATAAGAGTGGTGAGAATGGGCATCCTTGTCTAGTTGCTGATCATAAAGGAAATCTTTCAGCTCTTCATCATTGAGTATAATGTTGGCTAGGGTTTTGTCGTATATGGCCTTTATATTGTTGAGGTATGTTCCCTCTAGAACCACTTTGTTGACAGTTTTTCTCATGAATGGATCTTGGTTGAATTTTATGAAATGTTTTTACTGCATCTGTTGAAATAATCATATGATTTTTATCCTTCCTTTTGTTAATGTGGTGTATTACATTGATCTTCAGATGCTGAATTATCCTTGCATCCCTGGAATAAATCCCACCAGATTATGGTGAAAAAGTCTCTTAATTAGATTTCCTAACTTCTTGAGGATTTTTGCATCTGTGTTCATCAGGATTATTGGTCTATAATTTTCTTCTTTTGTACTGTCTTTGTTTTTGATATCAGAATAATACTGGCCTTACAGAATGAATTTGGAAGCATTTCTCCCTCTTCTGTTTTGTTTTGTTTTGTTTTGTTTTTTGGAATAGTTTAAGAAGGATAGGTATTATTTCTTAAATGTTTTGTAAAATTCAGCTGTGAAGCCATCTACTTCCTGGACTTTTGTTTGTTAGTTTTTTAATCACTGATTCAGTTACTAGTAATTGATCTGTTCAGATTTTCTATTTCTTCCTGGTAAGTCTTGGAAGATTGTATGTTTGTAAGAATTTATACACTTCTTCAAGGTTGTTGAATTTGTTGGCTTATAATTCTTCACAGTAATCTCATAATCGTTTTTTCTCTAGTGTTTTAGTCTTATTTTAGTCCTTTTTTTCTTAAGTCTAATGAAAAGTTTATCAGTTTTATCTTTTCAAAGAACCAGCTGTTAGTTTCATTGACCTTTTCTTCTGCTGTTTTCTTAGTCTTTATTTCATTTATTTCTGCTCTGATCTTTATTATGTCCCTCCTTCTCCTTGGGCTTCATTTGTTCTTTTTCTAGTTCCTTTAGTTGTTAGGTCAAAAGGTTTATGTGAGATTGTTACTGTTTCTTGAGGTAGGCCTGTATCACTATAAACTTCCTTTTTAGAATTGCTTTTGTTGTATCCCACAGATTTTAGACAACAATAGAACTGTTGTTTCTATTTTCTTTTGTCTTTATGTATTCTTTAATTTCCTCTTTGCTTTGTTCATTGGTTGTTTAGTAGCATGTTGCTTAGCCTCCATGTGTTAGTGTATTTCACAGTTATTTTCTTAAAATTTTTGTTTTCAGACCATTGTGGTCAGAATACATGTATGATACAACTTCAGTATTGTTAAATTTATTGAGAATTGTTATGTAGTGCCTAACATGTGATCTGTCCTGGAGAATATTCCATGTGCACTTGAAAAGAATGTATTCTGCTTATTTTGGATAGAATGGTCTGTATATACATGTTAAATTCATTTGGCTTAATGTGTCATTCAGTGCCACTGCTTCCTTATTGATTTTCTCTCTGGAAGATCCATCCATTGATGTAAGTTGGGGGTGTTTAAAAATCCCCTACTATTATTGTATTACTGTCAATTTCTTCCTTTATGTCTGTGTAAGATATGCTTTATATATTTAGGTGCTTCTTTGTTGGGGGCGTAGATATTTGCAGTTGTTATATTCTCTATGGGATTGATCTCTATGTAATGCCCCTCTTTGTCTCTCACTACATCCTTTATTTTTAAGTCTGTTTTGTCTGTTGCTACTCCGGTTTTTTTTTTTTTTCTGCTTCCATTTGCATGAAGTATCTTTATCCCTTCACTTTGAGTCTCCAGTCTCCTTGCCTGAAATGAGTCCGTTGTAGGCAGCATATACAGCTCCCCTGTGTCTTTTGGTTGGAGCACTTAATCCATTTACATCTAAAGTAATTTTGATGGGTATGTCCTTACTGCGATTTTTATTGTTTTTATTTTTTTTTGTACTTTTGTGCCTTTCTTCTTCTCTTGGTGTTTTGATGACTTTCTTTAGTACTATGCGTGAATTCCTTTCTCTTTATTTTTTGTGTATCCGTTACAGGTTTTTGGTTTGCTGTTCATGAGGTTCACACGTATTTTAAATAGATGGCAGTCCTATTAGTTTAAGTTTGAACACATTCTAAGATCACTACATTTTTATTACTCCCCCCTCCATGTTTTATGTATATGATGTCATAATTTACATCTTTTATCTTACATATCCCTTGACTTATTTTTGTGTATATAGTTGATTTTGTTACTTTTGTCATTTGAACTTCATATTAGCTTTCTAAGTGATTGGTCTGCTACTTTTACTGTGTTGATTATTACCAGTGAAATTTTTTTCCTTTCCTGATTTTCTTCTGGTTATGACCTTTCTTTTTTCCACTTTAAGAAGTCCCTTTAACATTTCTTATAAAGCTAGTTTAGTGATGATGTACTCCTTTGTTATCTCAGAAACTCTCTCTCCTTGGATTCTGAATCATACACTTTCCTGGTAGAGTATTCTTGGTTGTCAGTTTTGTTTTTTTTTTTTTCCTCTCAGAACTTTGAATATATCATGCCACTCTCTTCTGGCCTGAAAAGTTTCTGCTGAAAAACTGGCTGGTAGCCTTTATGGGATTTCTCTTGAATGTAATTCTGCTTTTCTCTTGCTGTGTTTAAGATTCTCTCTTTATCTTTAATCTTTGCCATTTTAATTACTCCGTGTCTTGATGTGGACCTCCTTGGGTTGTCTTGTTTGGGGCTTTTTGTGCTTCCTCAGCCTGGATATCTGTCTCTTCCCCACATTAGGGAAGTTTTCTGTTATTGCTTATTCAGATAGGTTTTTTCTGCCTCTTTCTGTCTTCTCCTCTGGGACCACTGTTATGCAAATGTTGCTTCATTTCATGGTGTAGAGATCTCTAAGCATCTTCATTTTGTTTAAATTAATTTTTCTTTCTTCTGTTCAACTTGCTTTCCACTATCCTGTCTTCCAGGTCACTGACCCATTTTTCAGCTTCTTAATCTGCTGTTTATTCCCTCTAGTGCATTTTTCATTCTAGTTATATTCAGCTCTGTCTGGTTCCTTATATTTTCTGTTCCTTTGTTGAAGTCCTCTCTGAGTTCATCCACTTTTCTTTCTAGTCAGGTGAGCAGCTTTAACTCTGCTGCGAACTCTTTGTCAGGTAGATTGATTATCTCCATTTCATTTAGCAATTTTTCTGGCATTTTTTCCCCCTGTTCTTTTGTTTGGAACATATCCTTTGCCTCCTCATTTTTCTGGCTTCTATGCTTTGTTTTATGAATTATGTAGATCAGCTATGTCTCCTGGCCTTGAAAGCAGAGGCCTCACGTAGAAGGTATCTTGTGGTGCCCAGGGATACACTACCCCCTGCTCACCAGAACTAGGTACTCCAGACATGTCCCTGTGTGGGCTGTGTGCACTCTCCTGTTTTGGCTAAGCTGGGACTTCCGTGAGTGGGCTGGTGGGCTAGTCAGCCCTTTGCCTGGTTGTCAGTCGTGGCCAATGGAACTAATGCTACCATGCTGATGTGTGCGTTCTGGCTCCTCCCCTTTCCAGGGTATCAGTTGCTTTGAGGGGGCACCTGCTGGGATGGATGTGCTGGGCAAGGCAAATCCACAGGAGCAAGCAGTGCTGGCAGGGCAGGCAGTTCGGGAGTGGCTCTAGCAAGCATCCAACCATGGAGGCTGAGAGAGGGCATGAAAGTGGCATCTTCCCAGCCCTTCTCCCCTAGAGGAAGCTCCTACAGACCCTTGCCTCTCTGGCTTAGGTCCCAAAACTAATCAGTAATCTCCTTCCAAACTGCTGCTTCTGTGTTGGGTCTCAGACTGGCTGACAGGGCGCACCACTTCTCCAGCAGTGGAGCTTCAGCTCCCACAGCCCCCCAGCTCTCCCAAAGCCACAGATTTTCAAAGCCAGACGTTATGGGAGCTCCTCTTCCCAGTGCAGATCCACTGGGCCAGGCGTCGGGGGTTTATCACTTCCCCACCCGGTGCCTCACTCCCTTCCACTTACAGACTGGGTTCGGGGAGGGCTTGGATCCTCATCACTTGTGCCTCTGTCCTCTTTACCCTTCTCAGTGTAGCCTTCTCTTTGTCGTTCACTGTGGGAGGCCCCTTCTGCCGGCCTTCAGTTCATTTTCAGTGTTGCATTAAATGTAGTCGCTGCTTCGTTGTGTATGTAGGAGGAGGTTATCACAGTGACCGCCTATTCTGCCATCTTCCCTGAATCCCTGATTATCTTCTTGTAAACATTTTAGGTTCACACTATCAAAGATGGAGTTCGTAGCTGCATTCTAGCTAGGCCCTCTATATGCATGACCTCACTGAATGCTCATGACAATCCTGTGTACAGTCGCTACTGCCATTTACAAATAGGAAACTTAGGAGAGATTAAGTAATTTACCTATACTGAAGTTGTTCCTGAGTTTATGAGAAGTGCAGTTTAGTCATGCCATTCATCTTTATGTCCAGTGCTCTTTACAGATCTTTCTTCTTTACTGCCTTCAGTGAAGGACAAACTAAAATTAAACCTTCAGTTTTTTTCTTGTAGAATTTTAAAGAAGTGAATTTTAGTTGAATATAACAAATTTTTGGATCAGTTTAATAGAAATGGTGACTTGACATAAAAGGAAAAGGAATTTAGCTATTCAGATGCCATTCTGAAGCAATGGGGCTATTCTGTACCTTTGAAAGTGCCATAAAAGTGACCACTGGCTTCTCCAAGCTCGTTGTGATCTTGTGGAGCTTGGGAGCAGAAGGGGTGGTAGAGGCATCAGTTAGTTGTCTTATTATCATAATGACATTTTTTCCTAATAAGTGTTAGATATTATTTTGTTCCCTCTAACAGCTTTATCTACATCAACTTCATATTTATGCAGATACAGCATTTATGAGATATAGTCACTTCTTATTTCCATTTATATTCCAGTCACGGAACCTGACGCAGAGTGGTTAAGCAGTTTGCCCAAGTGGTCTGGTTTAGTGACTGGTAGAGCCAGAGACTCTAGCATCTGTGCGCTTAACCACCAAGCTGCTGTGCTTCTCATTTCTGCAAGTTGTACGTGTTAAGTGGCTGCCGGGAATATGTCAGTTAAGGGACTAGAAGAAAAGGAATAATCCTGAATCTGGATACAGATTAATGTGTTTGTGAGTTGGTTTTGTCAAATAGCTAGGAATGTGATAAGCTGAAGACTGCCTCTTGCTGAGATTTGAGTACACTTAATGTAATGATAAAAAGCAAAGAAAATCAGAAGAGGCATTGCTGTAAAGGCAGCTTGGGGTAAAAGAGAGAACATTTTTGGTATTAATTGGGAAGGTACATCCTGGCAGAGTGGGTGAGATTTATTTTGTTGTTCCTTTGTAAATTAGGTACAGTTCCAACATTTTAAGAATACTCTCAGTGAAGCCTCTTTCTTTCAAGTATTACCCACAATCACAAAACACTATCTCTTTTTCCTTGTAGGAATTTCAGAAAAAGCTTACTAGAGCTAGAAGAATAATGATCATAGGGAATGGTGGTATTGCCCTTGAACTAGTGTAAGTATGTATTTTTAATTATTTAAGAATTAACTTTCATGATGTGAAAACTGATGTGATTTTTGGCATTCTAGAAAATACCTTATCCTGAAAATCAAAAATAAATGTAAGTGTTTTTCATATATTTTGAAGGAGAAAAATACACTTTTTTTTAAGCTTTCATAGACTTCATAGTTATATAAATGCCCTTATAAAACATGAGCATTTAGGGAATTCTTTGTCCCAAGAGTTCACACCCTAGTGAATGGATAGATTTGACCCATGGATGAGTCTTGTAAGCATGTCCTATACTAAAAACCAGGTTAAATGTGCACACTTTTAGAGATTTCTAGGCATAGTCCCCACCACTTTTTATTGTCTGTCCCTATCCTGCTTCCTTCATTTATGTTACCTGCCTCGTCCATGAAACCCACAGTGTTTGTGACTCCTTTTCCAGGATATATAGTACTCCTAATGCTTGGTTTTTTGGAAATTAGAAAATGGGAACACAATAATAATGTGAAATATTATCATATTAAGATGGTATTACAAGTTTGAAAAACATTGAAGGATTTGTATCCTGATGTGGTCTATTATAGAGCATTGAGTCACTTTCTTTGTGACTTTATCTTCCAGTGGATGGATGACATGGAATAGTCTGGATATATTTCAGATCAGAAAGTTGGGTCCAACTACAAAGAGGACAAGTTTGTCTCACAATAAGGAATCTGCCAAAGCCCTATCTTGGCTCACTTTCATCTACTCCAATTCTCAGACTGGGTTGTTTGCCCTTCTTCTTGACACCATAGTGAATTCCAGTAAAATGCTGTAGGAGTTCTTAAGTCACCTGAGTACTAGGGGTGGCAGTCATTATTGTAATTATGATGTTTGTGACATTGTATGGAGAAATAGAGAAAAAAAAACAGACAAAGCCAATCTGGATGAAGACAGAAGAGGCACATGACAAATTTTCTCCATCAGCTATCACCAAGAGCGTAACTTAATGCTGTTACTGACATTGAAAAGCTTTCTTACACTCAAAAATGTTCAGTGTCATAAAGGAAATATTTAATCATATTCCAAGGTAGAAGACCATGTAACTGGATAAAACTCAATTTTATATTGAGTAAACTGATAGTTTAAGAAACGTCTCATATAGTGCTATTCTTTGTTTAGGTTCACTGAATTGATAAGGTGTTTGTCTTCTCATGATGAAAAATGACGTATCTAAACCCTTTCTGATCTTTCATAGTCCCTGTGTTCCACTGAGGCCAATACTAATTCTCTTAAGTACTAATTTTCTTTCATTTCAGTTATTATCTCTATTTTCTTCTTTCCAACTGTAGGTTAACCCTTTCCTTCTCAAACACTTATTTTTTCATAATTTCATAAAACTAATATTTCACTCCTCTTTTAAGAATGCTTTTAAAAATGTAAGCAGTGTTTTCCCTCTACGTGATGAGACATTTATGTTTATATACTTTGCCGAAGGCGTATTTCATAGATAAGGGGAGTAGAGGGTGTCCTGTGAGGTGGAGCATGTACAGGAGTTACTTGTGGTTGTGACTTATAACCATAGCCTACTAGTCAAGCGTCAGGATTTTAAGCTGTATTGAGACGTCATGCTGTTAGATTACTTTAAAATACAAAAAATGGAAGAGAGGTTTCTAATTTTTGAATGTTAAAAGTATTTCATAACTATATGCATATATGTAAATTGAAATATAAAATTTATTACCAAATGTTTATGTATCCTACTTCCTGCTTATTAGCAGTCCTGTGTGATCTGAGCAGCATAAAAGAGAATGTTCTCCAATTAATCTGAGATTTAGTACCTGTATGTATTTATTGCTGGCATAGGGGAGCAGAAAAGTAAAGGCTCATAAGAGGTTCGTTTATCATATGGACTTCAGGGACTTTGTGAAATTATTATTAAGAAAAACACATCCTCGGTGCCAGACTTAGAGATAAAACAGCAGATGCCCAGGACCTCTGGCTAGCTCGAAAGTGGTAACAGAAGGTGGCCTCTGTAAACCACGGTCATTCCTTTCTCCAAGCTCCTTGATTTTTCTGTGAACTGTATCTTAGGCTAGATGGCTTGTAAATTTCTTGAAATGAAGAGAATTAATTGAAGGGTAATGGTTCCTTTTAACAAAGTTAAGATTTTAGTTTATAACTGATTTTTCTCCTTTTTCTGTCTCCTATAACGTGCCTTGAGTACATAAAATATTTGATAACAAAGAAGTCAGCTCTTCTGGAATATTGTAGCTATATACCATCCGTCCATTATTGGTCACACTGTAACCAGATCAACAAAGCATCGCTCATTCCTGGGAGCCCTGGGGCACATTCAGATAATAATATGCTATAGAAATTGAACATTTTGAAGTGATACTCATGGGTAATGAAATTTTACCTGGTGTTTTTTTATAAACTGGTTAAATTTCTTATCATTTATACTACTTTAACTCATTATCCTGAAAGAGTATTAATTCCTCTTCTTTCTCAGTTTGCCTTAAAATACCATTTTCTTTTATTTTAGGAGATTATTATTCTTTGCAGGTACAGTTGACCTTTGAACAGTGCAGGGGTTAGAGGCACATCCTCCCCCTCCACCAGTTGAAATCCATAAGTAACTTTTGACTCTCCAGACTTAACTACTAATAGTCTACTGTTGACCAGAAGCCTGACTAACAACATAATCAATACATATTAACACATTTTATATATATTATATACCATAGTTTTACAATAAAGTAAGCTAGAGAAAGTAAAATGTTTTTCCAATTGTTGCAGATCTCCAAAGAATTTTCCAATATATTTATTGAAAAAAAAATCTGCATATAAGTGGATCCATGCAGCTAAAATCCATGTTGTTCAAGGGTAAACTGTACAAAGATTTTTACTCACACTTCTGAAATTGCTGTAACTTTAATATCCTATCAGGTATGAAATTGAAGGCTGTGAAGTAATTTGGGCTATTAAAGATAAAGCTATTGGAAATACTTTCTTCGATGCAGGAGCCGCTGAATTCTTGACTGCAAAGCTCATTGCTGAAAAAACAGAGGCTAAAATTGTACATAAAAGAACCAAGTATACAACAGAAGGTAAATACCGCCTCTAGCTCACAGATTAATTAGGTTGATTAAGTCCAGTCATTAATATTAGGGATTAATATTGATTAGTTTGATAAATAAGTATTTTATTTATTAAACATTATCACAGAAGGCATTTTTTAGCCATATGGAAAAAAGGCTGTAAGAGAACTTAGCAAAATACTTCATTTGGGGGATAGGAATGTAGATAATATATCTTACATGACTTTTTAGAATGTCTAATATATATATATATATACTTTTTCATGAAAAATATGTATAATTTGAACTGGAAATTAAAGTGAGTTAAATCATTTGCATTTTTGCAAACATACAGTTGGACAAAAACTAGAATAATTTCATGAAAAATGTAGTGAGTTTACCAACAAACACAGGCGTCACATTTTTAAAGAGCTTTTTTTCAACTTTTGGCTTATTTTGTGAGTTGTGTGGTGCTAAAAATTGGCAGAATTCTCAAAATCTGATGGCTAATTTTTTTTATTAAATCATAAGTGACAATATTATAGTTTCAGGTATATGACATAGTGATTCAGTATTTTTGTACAAAATGATCACCTCAGTAGGTTTAGTTAGCCTCTATTACTCACTATATAGTTATTTCATTATTGACTGAATACACTTATTTTGTACTTTACATCCCCTAGGCTTATTTATAATTGGGAGTTTGTGCCTTTTATTCTCCTTCACCAGTTTTACCTGTCTCCTGTCCTCCTCTCTGGTAACCCCCAGTTTGTTCTCTATCTTACAGAGTCTATTTCTGCTTTGTTTTGTTTTTTGATGTTGTGTTTTAGATCACACATATAAGTCAAACCGTATGGTATTCATAGTCTGTCTGACTTCTTTAGCATGATACCCTCAGTATTGGCAAGATTTCATTCTTTTTTACAGCTAAGTAATACTCCATTATGTATATATACACCACATCTTCTGTATCTGTTCCTTTATTGATGGGACTCTTAGGTTGCTTGCATATCTTGGCTGTTATAAATAATGCTGCAGTAGACATAAGGGTGCATATATCTTTTCAAATTAGTTTTTTGTTTTCTTTGGTAAATACAGAGGTGGATCATACAGTATTTCTATTTTTAATTTTTTGAGGAACTTCCATGCTGTTTTCCATAGTGTCTATACCAATTTATATCCCCACCACAGGGGTTCCCTTTACTCTACATTCTTGCCAACATTTATTTTTTGCCTTTTTGATAATAGCCACTCCGACAAGTGTGAGGTGGTATCTCATTGTGGTATTGATTTGCATTTCCCAGATGATTAGTAATGTGGACCATCTTTTCACTTACCTGTTGGCCATCTATATGTCTTTGGAAAATGTCTATTCTAGTCCTCTGCCCATTTTTAAGTTGGGTTATTTTGTTGTTTTGGTGTTGAGTTTTATGAGTTCTTTATATATTTTGGATTATCAATCCTTTATTGGGTATATCTTATCCATTATGTTAATTGGTGTATATAACATTGAAAAACCACATTGTGTGTGTATTATATTCAACACTTAATTGAAAGATTATCCATTTTATAGTTCCACATCATAAAATATTAAAATAGTGAATTAAATGGTTAATATAGGTACCTTAGTCAATGCTGTATATATATATATGAGAATCATTACATTGCCAGAAGCTTCAGAACACAAGCATAATTCTCTGCCTGGCAGTTTTTATGTCATATGAATGTTCAATTATCTCTTCAGGAAGGAAGAAGGAAGCAGGAACCAAAGATAATGCTGGTAAAACAGGCAGTGCCTTGGGACCTGATTGGCATGAAGGCTTGAATCTTAAAGGAACAAAACAGGTATGTTTTCATACACCAATTGAACATGTCTAAATGCACCATTGAATTCTTGAACCATTTGTTAAAGGCTGCTTAGAAATGTATAGTCAAAGAATTGGTACATCACTTTAAAGTCCAGGGTGCTAAGCATGGACTTCAGTGCCACTTGGCCCAGTTGCTTACCAAAAATGGGTGAATATTTACTTCATCTATAACTGACACTCAGCCTTCTTTTTTAAATCTCCTGGCCTACAGATTTCCATACCCTAGCTGCAGTAAATAGATCTATCCTACTTTAAATTAATCTTTTCTCAAAGGTCACTTCAGATGCATTACAGTATTTTAAAGGTTATTGGATTGATTCTAAATACACATTTAATATCCTAATTGGATAAACAATGACTTCCTTTCATTTTATTCATTAGATACTTTAGTTTTTTAATAGGTGTTAAAAGGCTATCATATTAAATATTGTGAGCCGCACACAGGCAGGCAGTCTTTATTACTGAAGATGATTTCTTTTCAGCTTTGCATAGGGTGAAGGGGAGCTGGCTTCGAAACATCTAATTTTTGTGATGGAGATTATGTAAAATAATTTATGTACCTTCAGATCCTAAGGTTAATAATACTTTTAGCCAAAGAATTTCAGCAGTTTAGTTAAATAAATATCAATTATCTCCTACCTTAACTTGCAGTTTACTTAGGTTCTGGGACATAACAATAAGTCTACATAAATTTACCCTCAAGGTTTGCATAGTCTATAAAAATTATCATTTTAAAAGTTTTATGAGTAATCATGAATGAGGCTTAGAACTGAAAGCATGCTTCAGTGCTACTGTTGACGCAGCTTCTAACCTCTTAAGTACTGATGACTTTCTGCTCATTTTCTTCACGCACAGAAACTGAAAGGCTTATTTTGGGGCATCCACTGTGCTTTTATTTATATTGTATGATTTTTTTCTGCAGGTTTCTACAAATATAAATTTTTTCTTCCCCATCAGTAAACCAGTCATTCTTTCTGGAAGCATTATGGTAACCAGCATTTCTTTTAGTTTTCTCATAAGATTCACATTGAAACTATGTGTGAAGTAAAGAAAATCTACCATCAGGAAGAATTTAGAATTTCTAAGAAAAAGTCCTTAACTTTTCCAAGAGACCATCATAATCCAGCAGTCACAACTGATAAAGGTAACGAATGAAACAAAAAACATATAACCACTTATTTAAAAGGAAGACAGCTTAATCTCGCTTGCTATTTATTATTAGAAAACAACTTTAGATTTCTATGTAAAATTTAAACATGAAAAGTAAGAACAAAACCACAATTTAATAACATAAGCCATTTTACTACTTTAAATTTTCTATTAATTCATATAGAGCTTTACATTTTACACAGCGCTTATGGTGTTTTGACCATCACAACCTTGTGAATCAATAAGAACATCTTACAGATCAAAGCAAAATAAATAAAAACTTTTTTAAAAAAAGCTTGATGCTATTCAGAGGTGGAGTGACTTCCCCAAAATCAAAATCAACAAATTTGGAACTAAGACGTAGATGTAAATCCTATTTCACACCTTCTCTAAGAACTACTTTCATTTGAAGAAATATACTCAGCCAAACTAGTATATGAGATACTCTACTGTTCTAAATTCTTTGAATTTTTCCACAGGAAAAGTGTTAAAGTTTGAAAATGAATAGTAAGGGACAGTATTGAAAAGTGATGGCCCAAACTCCCAGTGGAGTATTAACCTATTAATAAAGATTTTTAAAGAAATAATTTATAAAATGATTATCAACTTAAATTCACTTTGTAGAATTTCTATGTCTAAGTTGGGGGAAAACGTTTAGAATGTCACTGTTTTGTAATTATACCCAAAGGAGGAGGTATGTTGGTTGCATTAAAATTGTTTTAGCAAATGTACCTTATAAAAATTCTTAAGGAGTACAATTTTAAAGTCATCCCTCCTTTCTCTTTCTTTGTCCTTGCCATTATATTCATGTAATGTTACAGACAAGTGGTGATGATTACATTTGAGAATAAAGTCTTTTTCTGTCTTTTTTTATTTTTTAGAGGTATGGCCTGTCTATGTGGAATTGACCAATGGAAAGATGTATGGCTGCGATTTCATCGTCAGTGCTACAGGAGTTATACCAAACATAGAACCTTTCCTCTGTGGCAATAATGTAGGTGAAGTTTTTTGTCCTGTTCTGTTAGGCATATTTTTAAAGTACTATATTTATGAAGATCTCTAACTCAAAACTGTTAACTTAAGATAGCAGAAAATAATTTATATGTTTATTCATGTCTTGATTTGCAGTATTTCTTACTGCCTAATGTTGTTAAGCAGTTAATATCCCAGCACAAATGTCATCATTAACAGGATTTATCTGAAGATTGGTAAAAAACTGACACGTCCTATGAATTCTTAGAAGTGATCCTTTAGAGAAATCATCTTATATTTTTTGCTTTATAGAATTTGAAGCTTACAAAACTGAGGAATATTCTTATAATTAGGAGTTGAGTAAGGTGTTTTGACCATCACAACCTTGTGAATCAATAAGAACATCTTACAGATCAAAGCAAAATAAATAAAAACTTTTTTAAAAAAAGCTTGATGCTATTCAGAGGTGGAGTGACTTCCCCAAAATCAAAATCAACAAATTTGGAACTAAGACGTAGATGTAAATCCTATTTCACACCTTCTCTAAGAACTACTTTCATTTGAAGAAATATACTCAGCCAAACTAGTATATGAGATACTCTACTGTTCTAAATTCTTTGAATTTTTCCACAGGAAAAGTGTTAAAGTTTGAAAATGAATAGTAAGGGACAGTATTGAAAAGTGATGGCCCAAACTCCCAGTGGAGTATTAACCTATTAATAAAGATTTTTAAAGAAATAATTTATAAAATGATTATCAACTTAAATTCACTTTGTAGAATTTCTATGTCTAAGTTGGGGGAAAACGTTTAGAATGTCACTGTTTTGTAATTATACCCAAAGGAGGAGGTATGTTGGTTGCATTAAAATTGTTTTAGCAAATGTACCTTATAAAAATTCTTAAGGAGTACAATTTTAAAGTCATCCCTCCTTTCTCTTTCTTTGTCCTTGCCATTATATTCATGTAATGTTACAGACAAGTGGTGATGATTACATTTGAGAATAAAGTCTTTTTCTGTCTTTTTTTATTTTTTAGAGGTATGGCCTGTCTATGTGGAATTGACCAATGGAAAGATGTATGGCTGCGATTTCATCGTCAGTGCTACAGGAGTTATACCAAACATAGAACCTTTCCTCTGTGGCAATAATGTAGGTGAAGTTTTTTGTCCTGTTCTGTTAGGCATATTTTTAAAGTACTATATTTATGAAGATCTCTAACTCAAAACTGTTAACTTAAGATAGCAGAAAATAATTTATATGTTTATTCATGTCTTGATTTGCAGTATTTCTTACTGCCTAATGTTGTTAAGCAGTTAATATCCCAGCACAAATGTCATCATTAACAGGATTTATCTGAAGATTGGTAAAAAACTGACACGTCCTATGAATTCTTAGAAGTGATCCTTTAGAGAAATCATCTTATATTTTTTGCTTTATAGAATTTGAAGCTTACAAAACTGAGGAATATTCTTATAATTAGGAGTTGAGTAGTTATATGAGGGTATTCTTGGTGTTGAAATTCTAAGAATTTTTATCTATCGTAGGGTTTGTCTATCTTAGTAGAAATTTGGTTCCCTGTAAATTCAGCTTGCTTGTCTGAATTTTACAGCTGTTTCTCACTTTCTCTTTAAACATCAGCATACCAAGGTATAAAACCTTGATTTGATCTTTTACTTTAGAATTAAAGAGTCAAGTCATTTTTCTTACCATGTATGTTTATGAAGAACACTGTTTAGTTTGCCCTAGGAGAAGATGGTGGCCTGAAAGTGGATGACCATATGCACACATCCCTTTCTGATATCTACGCTGCAGGTGACATCTGCACTGCATCCTGGCAGCCCAGTCGTGTCTGGCAGCAGGTAAGCCTGCATACAGGAGCACGTTTTTATCAGAGATCAAGTCTGAAAAGAAAGGAGTTGCTACCTGCAAATCTAACTTTCTGGTTTTCCAAGTTTTCCTCTTTAAGTAAAAAGCTACCATAGAGTCTTCCATTACAATAAAAAAAAGAAAAAATATATATTGAATTTTCCCCTTTTGCTAAGTCGTAAGAATGGAGTAGACCGGGCTGTGTTTTAATTTTAAAGGCATTATGGGTTATTACATTGCTTTTTATCCTCAGATGCTTATCACCACTGTTCAGTGGAACTTTGTGATGGTGGAAATTTTTTTTTCTCTCTCTGGCTGCTTCTAATACTCTGTCCTTAACCTTGATCTTTGCCATTTAACTTATTATGTGTCTTGGTGTTGTCTTCCTTGGGTTCCTTGTGTTGGGAGATTTGTGTACCTCCATGGCCTGAGAGACTATCTCTTTCCCAAGACTGGGGAAGTTTTCAGCAGTTACCTTCTCAAAGACACTTTTTATTCTTTTTTCTCTCTTTTCCTTCTGGTACCCCTGTAATGCAAATATTGTTCTGTTTGTATTAGTCACACAGTTCTCTAAATATTCTTTCATGCCGAGAGATCTTTTTTTCTCTCTGTGCCTCAGCTTCTGTGTTCCTGTTCTCTAGTTTCTATTTCATTTAACATCTCCTCTACTTCATCTAATCTGCTTTTAAATCCTTCCTTTGTATATTTCATTTCAGATACTGAATTCTTCAATGTTTGTATCTCATTCCTGAATTCCTTCCTCCCTGAGTTCTTGAATACTTTTCTGTAGCTCCATGAGCATGTTTACGATTTTTATTTTGAAATCTCTTTCAGGAAGATTGATGAGTTCAGTTTCACTTGGCCCTCTTTCTGGTGTTTGTGGGATTTTAGTTTGAACCAGGTTCCTCTGATGTTTCATATTTGTAGGTGGCGCCCTCTGGTGCCCAGAAGCTCTACTCTGGAGCTGCTCAGTTCCTGGAGTGGTGGCAGGGGTCACAGGCGAGTGGTGCTGGTGCCCTCTTCCTTGAGGTCTGCTGTTTTCCCCAAGTGTAGGCAGTCTACCGCAGCCTTCTTTCCTATTACTCTTTCAATTAGATATATTTGCTATATTTTCATATTATATGTGGTTTGGGGAGGAGGTTTTCATCTTACCTCTCACATCATCATCTTTAAGCCTAATCCTCTGTGATGGTGGAAATTTTTATACATTTCCAGTGTCCAGTCAGGTGGCAACTAGCCACGTGTCTGTTGAGCACTTTAAATGTGGCTAATATGACTGAGGAAGTGAATTTTAATTTTATTTACATTTAATTTATTTAAATAGCATTTGTGGCTAGTAGCTACCACTACTAGCTATATTGGATAGCACAGCTTTGGATTAAAAAAACAACCAACCACTGAGATTATAAACAATATGGATAAAGCATTCTATTCATGATGACCCTTTTCTGTCCCTGTGAGAATTATTACTGAAAAAAATGTTCCTAGAGTACACTGCCTTCCTCATCCTAATAGCTTCTTCCAGTAGGATCTAGATTTCCTCAAGAGACTATCTCTTTCCCAAGACTGGGGAAGTTTTCAGCAGTTACCTTCTCAAAGACACTTTTTATTCTTTTTTCTCTCTTTTCCTTCTGGTACCCCTGTAATGCAAATATTGTTCTGTTTGTATTAGTCACACAGTTCTCTAAATATTCTTTCATGCCGAGAGATCTTTTTTTCTCTCTGTGCCTCAGCTTCTGTGTTCCTGTTCTCTAGTTTCTATTTCATTTAACATCTCCTCTACTTCATCTAATCTGCTTTTAAATCCTTCCTTTGTATATTTCATTTCAGATACTGAATTCTTCAATGTTTGTATCTCATTCCTGAATTCCTTCCTCCCTGAGTTCTTGAATACTTTTCTGTAGCTCCATGAGCATGTTTACGATTTTTATTTTGAAATCTCTTTCAGGAAGATTGATGAGTTCAGTTTCACTTGGCCCTCTTTCTGGTGTTTGTGGGATTTTAGTTTGAACCAGGTTCCTCTGATGTTTCATATTTGTAGGTGGCGCCCTCTGGTGCCCAGAAGCTCTACTCTGGAGCTGCTCAGTTCCTGGAGTGGTGGCAGGGGTCACAGGCGAGTGGTGCTGGTGCCCTCTTCCTTGAGGTCTGCTGTTTTCCCCAAGTGTAGGCAGTCTACCGCAGCCTTCTTTCCTATTACTCTTTCAATTAGATATATTTGCTATATTTTCATATTATATGTGGTTTGGGGAGGAGGTTTTCATCTTACCTCTCAGATCATCATCTTTAAGCCTAATCCTCTGTGATGGTGGAAATTTTTATACATTTCCAGTGTCCAGTCAGGTGGCAACTAGCCACGTGTCTGTTGAGCACTTTAAATGTGGCTAATATGACTGAGGAAGTGAATTTTAATTTTATTTACATTTAATTTATTTAAATAGCATTTGTGGCTAGTAGCTACCACTACTAGCTATATTGGATAGCACAGCTTTGGATTAAAAAAACAACCAACCACTGAGATTATAAACAATATGGATAAAGCATTCTATTCATGATGACCCTTTTCTGTCCCTGTGAGAATTATTACTGAAAAAAATGTTCCTAGAGTACACTGCCTTCCTCATCCTAATAGCTTCTTCCAGTAGGATCTAGATTTCCTCTTGCCCTCAGTGTTGCTTACCTCCTAATGTTGGAGCAAAATACTAGAGAAAGTGGCCATGGGTGAGGTTGTCTTAGTGGAGTTGAGATACTGGTAGGTGGTACACACAAAGAGAACAACCAGCACCTGTGAAGGACCAGCTCCACAGGTAGGGATAGTATTCATTCAGCTTAACTATGAAATACAAAGTAAATTTTGTGGGATATCTGTTGCAAATCTCAGGAATTAGAGTTTTGGAGTTTTTTAACATTTAAATCTTTGAGGATACATTATATCCTTAATGTACATCATACTCTGATATAGGCAAGAAAAATCTCTTGTTTTGAGTAAATCTAATAGACCCTTAACTTCTGTAATAGTTAGTACCCTAGTTTTACATAGTCCAAGACAAAATGGACTTTGAAGCTAGAATACATTAGGTGATGGGAATACTGATGCTGAGAAGTCATTTTAAATTCTCCTCTACAACAGTATCAGTTTCTCTTGTATTTTTATTGTACTTCTACAAAGTTTTGTGGTTTTGTGATAATCCACCAGGATTATATTACAGGTCTGGTCTGTTAGCCATTCTCTAGCTGTGCTCACCTTACACTCTGTTCCCTTACCGTATTGACTACCTCTAACTTCATGAGATTTACCTTGTTTGCACAGAGGAGACTGAGTTTTTTTAAAAATAAAGCCTTTCTACCAGAAATGCTTGAAACTCATTTCCATGATTGTGGTATTTTTGCACACAAAAAAGTCAGCATTAGTTACACACACAGAGGGTATGGAGAAACTGCTTACTGGAGGCTGACTTATGTATATTTATATTTCATAAGTATTCAAGAAATTGAGGTTCAAATAAATAAGAACTTAAATATGTAGGGAAGTTGATAATTAAATTTACTGACTCCAAAGCCCAGCGTTCTGAGTCACAAAACTTTGTAGAAATACAACAAAAATATAACAGAGGAAAAATTGATACTGCTGTAAAGAAGAAATTAAAATGACTCCCCAGCATCAGCTGATGAACTCTAATGTTTCCTGGGGCTGGATACCACCTAGTAATATCGTTGAAGCCTTAACTATCTAGCACCAAAAAATGAGGATTAGGAAAAGGAACAAATTCTCAGTGATAATTTGGCATCTCTATTAATGCTGATAATAATTAACATGCTCTAATAAGGGGACTGGTTTAATTAAAATGTTCTCACCTAATGTAGCCTGAAATATTTTATCTTCAGTAGTGTATTGAAACATTTGGAGTTGGTATCATCCTTTTAGAGGCAGCAATTTAGAAATACCAAAAATCAGTTTGGTTAGCATTTGCTTCTGTGGCAAAGATGGTCCACCCCAGTCCTCTAACTAGCTAGTTTTAACTCATTTCAAGGACTGTCAAAAAGAGTTCCTTTAAGGAATTTTACAATGTTAAGGTGATAACATTTTTCAAGTAATGATAATGAAAATTTATGTAAACCTAACATTTTTTATTTCAGATGAGGCTGTGGACCCAGGCTAGACAGATGGGATGGTATGCAGCCAAGTGCATGGCTGCAGCTATTTTAGGAGACTCTCTTGACATGGATTTCAGCTTTGAACTTTTTGCTCATGTAACAAAATTTTTTAACTATAAGGTAAGACAGATAAGCAAATGAATGCCCTTTTCTGCTTGTTAGTCTTACAATTATGATCTATTCATTTTACTCAAAAAAACATATATTCTCATTTCTTACCAATCAGTAGCTGGTATTATTGCTGATCTTGATTCTTAATCAGCTGATAAGCATTACCTACCATCCCACTATACTGCTGTACAGTGAAGGGAGATAAAAATATTTTCAATAGTAAATAATTGGCCTATGAAATTTCTAACTCATTTCCTAATTAAATCTGAAAATCATGACTCCAGGCTAGTATTGTCCAGATCCTGTATTTCACTAGCCACTTTTAATGCTCATGTAGGTTGTGTGGTGGTATCATCTGTAGAATGCATGCATGCCATTCAGACATTTTCTTTGGGGCCTTCCTCATCAGTGCTTTTAGCTATAAAATTCGTGAATTTTCCTACCACCTTTTTGGCATAATATGCCATGTAATTACATATTATGCTTCCTTTTCGAGTAACCGTTTTAATCCCTATACATAGGTTGTATTACTGGGAAAATACAACGCACAGGGCTTAGGTTCAGATCATGAATTGATGCTGAGATGTACCAGAGGACAAGAATACGTCAAAGTCGTCATGCAGAATGGGCGAATGATGGGAGCTGTCCTAATTGGTGAAACTGATTTAGAAGAAACATTTGAAAACTTAATTTTAAACCAGATGGATCTTTCATCATATGGAGAAGATCTACTAGATCCAAACATTGACATAGAAGATTATTTTGACTAAAAAGGAAATTTCAAAAACCACATAAAGTAAAATGACTAGTGATTTAATGACCAACTAAAGTTAAAAATAAGTAAAACTCTAAAGATGAAATCAAATTGTTTACAATTAACCACTCTTCAGTTTTGTATTATTTTAAACTTAAGACACATTCATATGTGATTTAAATTGGAATAAATTTAGCTAGTTTGTTCTCTACTTAGCCATTAATTTGGTCTGCTTAGTATATTAGAGCCATTCATTGATTGTGAAATGTCAGAACAGGGCTGAGGTTTCAGCCTATAAAGAGCTTATATTTAAATTTTACTTAAGTAGAGATGTGGCAATATTATGCTTGCTAATATTATTTGTACTGATAACTTATTCCTTTCTTATTTGGATGTTAAAGCAATTATAACCTAAAACCACTCACTTTCTGTGATGAGCTTATGTAAAATTTTCAGTATAACACTGTTTTATCAAAAGAAAGAACTAGATAAATCAAGGCATAAAGAACTTAACATGTGAACGTAAAATTTTCTCCTTGATTTATACTGTAAATTTATAATTCATGATCTCAAAAATAAGTCTTCAATACTTCAAAGTTCTGAAAATACAGCTCCATATATGTAAAATATTAAAATTGTCTTAAAAAGTAAACTTTTAACTACCAAAATAATGGTATATACATGCAATAAACGGTTTTCTTGGAAAATTTTAAAATATTCATTTCATGCATCAATTTTTCTTTTCTTAGCCCCTGTATTCTTAGAATCAGATTTCTTAAGCATGTTTGCAGACTTCTGGAAGTCACCTGAATTTTCTTCTTCCCTCTTTTTATCAGTTCCTTCAGAGTGACAAGTTTGAGGTGATTCAATCTACAAAACAATAACAAAGCAAATACACTGGTAAAAATTCAGCTATTCCATTTCCTCATGAGATCAATAAAAAGCTAACGGATGTAGGAGGACTACTGAGATAAGTTTCCAGTGGTCTGGTTTTTTTCCTTCAGATTTCTGTTCAAATATGAGCCCTGTCTTGAATGAAGGGGCTGTGCTATCAAAGAAATGCTGAAGCTTAGACACAATGGTACATGGCATGTTTGACAGTATTTAGTTTATAACAGTGCTTTTCATCCTCTGCCAGACTTCTCCACCAATATATAAGGTCAGGATATATGTCAAAATTCTTTCACCTAATACCACTACAGAAAACAAAGGTATGTTTTCTCTCTTCCATATACAAATTCTAGGAAGAAAACTGACTTTTGTCTGTTCTTATGTTCAGCTGGACCCAGGAGAGCACTAGTTAAAACTAAAGGCTTTGGGATGCTTTTAGTATATTTTTTAAATATGCAAAAACTGAAAATTAGTAGCCAGATCATTACCCCAAAACAGCTCTGTGTGGGCTTCTTCACTTGCATGGTAATAACATGGGCCTCACTGTTCAGAAGATTCGCTTTAGGTCCTATTTTCAAGTATGAAATGGTAGCATAAGCTGTAAAACTGTAATCTTCTCTGCAGAAGAGAAAGGCCAACAGTCAGGTTCTGAGATGCTACAGAAAACAAATTTGTAAAAAAAAAAAACCATCAAGTACAATAAACTTGAAGCAACACATTGATGTGCTATAAAAATGCAATTTATAGCAAGTATTTGCTTTACACTTTTTTTACTTAAATGCTCAATTAAAATTTTGAATTTACTAGATAAATTTGATATAGCATTTAGAATTTCACACGTGCAAAACCATTTGTTCCGTTGCAATTAGGAAAATGAGAAACAAAGACATGAGAGGACAAGGACTAGGTTTGCATATACTTAAGGTACTGCTGTAGAAGAAGGTGTGCGATAATTTTCTCCAGGTCTTCACGAGGAAGTACAGGAGGCACAACACCGGCTACTCTCAGTTTTGCTGCCCCCTTTCCAAGCCAAGAGTCAATCAGCTTCAAGGGTGTCAGCTTTTCATTCATTTCCTCTGCCTGCTTCAGGATCTTGATTAGATCTCTACAGTTGGCTGTTACATTCCTTCTTTCAAATGCTACAATGAAAAAGAGACAAGCAATTAGCATTCAGAAATTAGGGCAAGGATAGGCTATCCTAAGTGGTTAAACTGCTTTAAAATGAATCTTGAACATGAGCCACCCTAAACATTGATTTGTTAATTTGTCCTGAACTAAGACTAGGCCATTCCTCAATTCTCTATCACTAAACTAAGCTACAGTCTCTGTAAGACACTGTGGGATTTACAGTGAGGTAAAGAAGATAACCTGGTTATCAGAAGGCCTTTGGGCTTGCTGTACAAACCGCAGTGTCTGCCAGGCATGATTATGACAGATAATGAGAGGTGTTTAGAGAAGAGTCGGTCTGTTCTTCATACTTCCCTGATTTGTGTTCATTAAGCAATATTCTCAAAACAAGTATAGCTTCCTAAGTCCTCTGCTTCAGAGACAAGAATGTCCTGTTCAGATTAGCGATACTAGCACTCTGATTTATAAATCAGATTCCTGTTAATTTGGTCAGTATAACAGTCTAATAAACTGATTCATAAGTTTTCAAGCTGCAAAACTTTTAAAATTAGAGTGACCTTCACCCACCAAAGCATCAGAATTTCATAAGGAACTGGTTAATCCAGCTCTTCAAATACAACACACACAGAATCAAGAAAAGCTAAAAGACAACACTAAAACACTGCTAACGTAGTGTCTTAGGAGTTGTTAGCCATTATCTAGATCAACAATGATTCACTCTTATCTGTATTTTACACTAAATTTCTCAATACTTTATAGTGACTGGAGAGTTTATCACAAGATTAGCCTTTTCTTATATAAGTAGCATTTATATTTAGAGGGATTTTAACTTTTTCCTTTCTCTATTCAAAAATTTTAAATGCCCTCAGTGTAGCAATATAAAATACATGCATACATATATGGCATTTATTTACCTCTGTTTCAAAACTTTATTATTTCTGAATCTAGAAAATTCTATCTGTACCTTATTTAATCCTTTAAATCCATTTTGGGGTCTAATACTGCCCTCATGTAGTCCCAGCTATATGTATTAGCCTGTAAAGATTTAAAACACAGTGAACTCACCAATGTCTTTACAGCAATTATCACACATTTTGTTACACGCTTCTGAGTCCCACACTTCATCAAAATGTTGAGCTATCAATACACGGCGACATCTGCAAACATGTTGAGAGACCAAATTATTAAATGAATTAAAGTTTTAAGAGTCCTTATTTCAAAATATGGTTGTAGACTGTATTAGTTTCCTACTGCTGCCATAACATTACCAACAAGCTTAGTAGCTTTACAATAACACATATTTATTATCTTAAATTTCTATAGGTTTAGGAGGCTGATGTAGATCTCACTGGGTTAAGATCAAGGTGCCAGCAGGATCGGATTCTTTCTGGAGGCTCCAGGGGAGAATGTTCCCTTGTCCTTCCCAGTGTCTAGAGTCCACCCCCATTCCTTGGCTCGTGACCTCCGCCCTCCATCCTCAGAGCCAAGAACAGCGGGTCGGGTTTTCGCATCACATCACTCTGACCCTCTGCATCGTTCCCACATTTAAGAATCCTTGTGATTATACTGGGCTCACCCAAATCTCCCTATTTTAAGGTCAGATGATTAGCAACCTTCATTGCCTTTTGCCTGGTAAGGTAACATACTCCCAGGTTCCAGGGCATTGGAAGTAGACACCTGCCCACCATGCACAATTTTTTTCCATATGTACTTGATAACTTTGCTTTTCAAAAGTCCAAGATTCCTTTTGAGATTCCATATTTTACAACTATTAAGAAAATCTTCCTGAGAGCAAAGCAGTTTCTTGTGTTTTACAGTATGAGTCTGATTCTAAACCCCCAAAAATATGCTTCTTGGGGTTTATTGGACATCTAAGGTAATCTTTATTTTCCTCAACTAGATTATTGCAGTGGCTATCGGAAGTACATGCCATTTTCTGTGATTGTCCAGTTACTGCTTATTATTTCAAAATTTCTGAGTCCTTTTTATGTAATGGGCATAAGATACAAAGATGACTAAGACTGAGTCACCACCAGAGAGGTAAATGGTCTAATTAAAGCCACTCTGAATAAATGTAAATTCATTTCCTAAGGAAAACTTGACTCTGCTCTCAATTATTTCATCAACCGTCAGCTAGTAGGATGGTTGGTATCTGTTACTGACCCCAGCTCTCAAAATGCCTTACATGTATTTTCAAAATTATTAAAGCACATAGATAATAAGCCAGTACCAAAGAGAAGAGGCTTGAACTCATTGGCAATTTGTACCAAAACCTTCAATGAAAGAGAGGTGGGGATATGGACAAAATAGGTGATTGGAATTAAGAAGTCCAGTCTTTAGGTATAAAATAAGACTCAGGGATGTAATGAACAGCATAGGAAATATAGTCAACAACACGGTAACAACTCTGTATAGCAACAGTTGGTAACTAGACTTATTGTGAGCATTTCATACTATATATACAAAATCACTTGTATATCTGACACTAAAAAATATTGTATGTCAGTTCTTCAATTAAAAAATTTCAGCATTTCAATATATTTTACTTTAAAACTCACACACACAAGACACACTCCTTCAATAAAAAATAGTTCTGTTGAAGAATTATCTGAGAGAGAATATCTTTTCTTGGATTAAGGCAGACCCTGCAGGTTCATCTACTGGTTTCCCACCCTTCAGACATCTGTTCTTACAGGTTTACACTTGATCTCCTACCACTGTGTCTACTCACTTTAGTGATGCATGGACTTTCATACTGTGCTTGTCTTTGACAAGTTATGTGGCTTACTTGCTTATGTTTTGACAGTATGACACCATCTCATAAAGCTTCTGTTGTCCCACATTTTCCATCACCACCATTGAACTTATTCTGAATATATCTCCAAAGCCGTAATACAAAATACAGTCTGCTTTCATGTCATCTCGACCTGTAGTGTGAGAAATCCTGAGATTGCATAATTACTGTAAAAGTTCAAAACATGCAAAAATAGCATATATAAAATTGGCTAGCAATGCTTCATAGTCTAAATGTATCACATCTCAACTTCAGACAGCTGTGAAAGCTTTGTAATAGCTGCCCTCAAATTAAAAAATATAAAGGCTAAAGGGACAACAGCTATATTAGTTGAAAAATATGTCTACAAGTAATCCAGTTATTGAGGTTATAGATTTAAATGTAAGACACAATTCCTAACACTCCAATACCACATAATTAAAATTTCTCCATAGGCAAATTAAGTATAAACCAGCGAAAACGACTTCATTGTTCTAAAAGTACTAGCCATTAAAAAGAATCAAAAATACAGAATTAAACATCATATACAGTATGATCTCTGGAAAAGCTTTTTAAAAGCTACTTCTGGATGTGAATTATACATACCTGCACGTCCACTCTCTTGGTAGTAATTTTCCATAGATTTACTCATTGAATGATGAATAACAAACCTCACATCTGGCTTATCGATTCCCATACCAAATGCAACCGTTGCCACTACCACCTAAAATGTTACAACATTTTATGTTAGGTCAAGTTCAAAAATTTTTAAAGGTAAATTAGGCTCCTGTTGAAGATAATATACTAAACCTGAATTTCACTGGCTGACCATCTTCTATGAACCTTGGTCTTATCTTCTGGTTCCAAATTGGCATGGTATGCCCCTGCATGAATCCCCAGTTTCTGTAAACTAAC